GCCTTGGTAGGTAATTTGAAGAAAAATAAAGTGTTACTGTTTCTTATTTGTAGAAGGTTTAAGAAGAAAGACCACAACATAATGAACTAATTCATCACAATACCTGAAAACTCTGACTTCACTTTTTTGAAAAATGAAATGGTCTTTACTTTTACTCCCGATCAACAATCAAATATTTCTTCTTTAATTATGAATAACATGAATGGATTTAAATATTTAATTAAATTATCTCAAAATAATCCTTCATTTCAGTGCAAGATTGAAATTAGCTTGAATTCTTCATAACCTCTGAATAGTGGGTGACCCAACGGGTCACGGGTTTCTAGTTATAACTTAAAAGGGTTGTTTTAATTGTCAGTGTTCTGTAAGAGTTTATTATTCACTTTGTCTTTTTATCTACATAAATTTAACTATTTCTTGCTTTTTGTTTATCATTTGGACCATGGTTATTGCCAAATTGTTGTGCCACTTTTTTTTTAAGCTATGAAAGTTTAGTTTGGTTTATTTAATTTGGTATGTGTTATTCCTGATATTTAAAATTAGTATATTGCAGAAATATAAAATAACCAGTTTCAAAGAAAACTATAATTTATTACAGTAAGATTTTATCTAATAGCTTACTCTTAGTTTTGTTACCTTATGTTTTCATATTTTTCTAGCACAACAACCCCACCTGGTGTGCTCCTCTGAAATTCAAAATGGTGCTTATGATGATGTGTGTATAAGCGAAACTAGTAGTAGTAATATCCCAGAAGATGACACCAGGCCAGCTTCTGAATATGATGACCCATGGGAGTTACGACTTGGCATGCGATTGGCAGGAAGTCTGCAAGTTTCACCTTCATTGGATGGAGGTCAGTTCCAGCAGTTGAATTCTCTTAGTTATGCATCGACTAGCATGGAAGCAGATTTTGGCCCAGAAAATAGTTCACTCTTAAGTACTGAAACTTATGACTCTGTAGATAGTGATGAGATGGTTAGACAGATGTACGAAGCTGCCTTTGATAGCAGGGTAAAAAGAGAAGTGGAAAATATTAACTGGCATTTGAAACATAGGTCTTACCCAGAATCAGGATCATCAACATCTTCCAACAGTGGGTCATCATCCATCACTCCAACACATCATCCTAGACCTCTACCTCCAGAGCCTCCTCATAAAGACCCCCGACAACCCATCTCTCAGTGTAAAGAGGGAGAGAAGCAAAATGCTGTTCGAGATAAACCTGATCCAAAATCTCTTTCCATACAAGGAACCCAGGAGAGTCCAAGAGATGGCAGTCCAGGTCATCTGGAACAAGACCAGAAAAACATGTTGAGTGGCATACCATTCATTAGTAAAAAAGCCATTTGTGGTCATCAGGGTGTTAGGGTTCTTCCCTTGGATTTAGGTAAGCCATTATCTAAACTTCAGAGCAGAAATCAACCTACTGTTGAAAATCTTGAAAGAGACTCTTCGTTTTATAGTTCAGAATGTGTAGATAACTGTAAACTTGCAAGGTCACGAATTAAAGAAGACCAGAATAATATTATTCATTCATCGAATGGTGCTATTCCCAAATCTGATTCCTCAGGTAACAAAGGTGTACCAGTTTCCAATGTGATGAAATTTCAGTGTGAGAAAAATGACATTAGGTCTTCAGGTGACTATGATCCACCATGGGATGCACCTACACCTTCTGGCAGCCTTGATGAATTTTTGTCAGCACAGTCTTTTTCTTCTTTTGATGACGTTCCTAGTTTCCAATCCAGCCATTCCTTTCTGGTGGGAGTTCGGCGAGACCCTTCTACAGATTGTAGATCACCAGGAGATTATGATCCTCCTTGGGATGTCCACAGACCTCTTCTTAATAATCTTCCATGTGACCCCTCACCCAACCTTGGACATTCACCTAGGAGTGACATTTCTAGCTCTAGACCAGTTGCTGTCAATTATTTTGGTGCTACAACTGACACCAGGCCAATTGGAGAATACGATCCTCCATGGGACTTGCCTAAACATGGCAAACATCCTCAGCCACTTGCTTGCTCAAATAGTCAAACTGATGGAACTGATGCACAAACTGTTTCAAAAGATCCCAGAATCCCTGCAGATTATGATCCCCCTTGGGACATACGCAAACCTTGTTTATTGGATACAAGGGATATACATCATTCTAAATCACCCCATACCTCTTCTGATGAAATTGATGGCTCAAGTATTAAAGAAAGTGGCTTGTCAAAACCAAACCTGCTAGTAAAAAAACCTAGAAATGTGCTATCCACATCATCTTTTGAGTCTTACCTAGAATGTGAGCAACTGCCTTCAAGAAACAAAGAAACAGAAAGAGTAACTGGTCAGCCAAAGAGACCAGAATCCCTTCCCATCCAGAGTATAGGAGTTTCTCATTTACTGATGCCTGCAACAAGGGGAAAGAGCAGTATATTGGGATCCACTTCACAGAACTTAGCTAGAGGTCTTGACCCTACTAAGCCCAGCTCTTCTAAAGGACATGGTATGATTTACTCTTTAAAAAGAAGAAAAAAGTCATTATAATAAAATTCTTATCTGTGTTATGATTTTCAAATTTAAACAAATAGGGCATTCTTTATTTGTACAATATTGGGAATAATAATATTTTGTTGCATATTTTTAATCATATTTTGAATATGGCTTAAGGAGAGCTTGTATTAATTTCAATGAAAATAGAATATATAATTCTGCAAAATGTATAAGTGGCTGCAAACAACTTGGACCTCTCTGTTTGACTCCTTTTCCATACATGTTTCTGAAGTGAAAGTGATAATGTGCATGTGCATAATATAAGCCTGGTTAAAAACAATCTGTCAGTTTATAGTGATATTTTGATAATGTAATTGAGAATGTTATGGATCTATACCGTGTTTACTATCTCATTAAGTATTAACTCTGGATATCAGCTCAAAAATCTCAGTTGAATTTATGTCTTTTGAGCTTGGAAGACCATCATATTGATATTTATTGACAATATTATTTTCTTTTCAAATATTTTAAATTACTATTGTAATTTATTACATGAAAGAAAAAATTACATTTTATTATGGAAAAAAAAAATGTTGTAGGTTATAACTGTATGCATCATCTATGCATGATCCTTTTAGTTGAAGATGTTTTAAGTGGATATCTCTGAAATAAAACCAAAAAATTATAGCTTCACTAGTTTGATTAAAGTTTATATTTCACATAAAGTTAAAGCACTAAAAATAGTCTAGCAGTATTTATTGATTTAAATAACCTCCAAACAGGTGCAAATATTTTAAAATGTATAGAACTAGAGTGTGTAGATTTTTATAATGGGTGACAGGGAAAAGATTGATATAATAAAAATGGAAACAGAAGTGAAATTATGACAAAGATTTTGAGCTAATGAAATTTTTAGATAATAATCATATAAATATATCCTTCATAAGTTTTTTTTCCAAAGTGTAATTAGTTTTAAACATGTTTTATTATTGTTATTTTTTTTCCAAATTTTTATGCCAATAAATTTATTTGATTTTAAGTATTATCTCTTCCCTGTAAAATGTTTAAGTGCTTTTCCCATACCATGTATGACTATGTTACTTAAATATTTTGACCAGTCGCTGATTTGATTCAGAATAATCTGAGTGATGCCAGTAATAGCATAATTAAATCTATTTTAGCTGTGTGTGTTTTTTTAATATTTTCATTTAGAATATTTTTTTATTCAACAATATTTATGTATACAAAATTATTTCAGTGATAAAATATTGAGGAAACTTTAGAAAAAGCCAGTTCAACTTTAAAAGCCTTAAAATCTAACACTCACTAAGCTAAAACCGGTAAAAGAAATAATTTTCAATGAGTATCAACTCATACACTTATTGGAATCATTGCATTTTATTACATATTATGTATGTTCTTCTTACTGAATAATCTTTATAGTAATCTAACTACATGTTCTGCTCACAAAATTACACGTGACAAGTTAGTAAGGACTAAACTTGCATGTTTTAGACTTAGAGTTACAGTTTTCCAAGCCTTGCATACTATTACATACTACCCATAGTTATTTGTGGTTGGCAAGATGCTGTTGTATTCTCAGACTCACTGATCACTTTGCAGATGAATATACTAACCACAGATAACAAGACAAACAGCAGAAAATCCAATGAGAAATTCAACTGAATATCTGACTTTACTTAGTTGAAGAAAAGACTGAATACCATATAAAAATCAATCTTTATTTTCAATAAAGCAACAAGTCAGAACTGATGAGATTATGAAATGTCAGAAAACACTTCTAGCTAGAGATTTGATATTTGTCAATCTATTCTGTAGATATTCTATCTCTAGACAGAGAAGACTAACCTCTTTATTCATGTACTTGAGCAAATATGGTCAGTTATCCCAGAGTGGACATAGCCACTAGGTACTTCCAACCTCACACACAGTGATGTTACTAGAGAAGTTAGAAAAAAGATAACTCTCCAATAACACTCCTTGACCATGTGTAACTGGTACACAAAGTACGGACATTACCATACAAGTTGGACTTCCTTATAAGTGAAAGTGTGTATTTGAAAATGTTTAAAGAAAACATGTTATTATCTTAATTACCATAATGTTTTAGATCAGAGAATTTTAATAAGTTAGACACTACAAAAATAATTAAAAAGCCCAAGCAATACCAAACTTAAGTTAATATTAAATATACTTAATTTTGATGAGTAGGTTGCATTAATTTTGATAATTAATTGCAGCAATTTTGATAATTGAATAATATCTTAACTTAGTCTGTCTTGATGATAGACTAAATGTAGATATTATTTGATTATCAAAATTGCTTATGTAACTTTGTGTGTCAATGCTGTACATATTGCTACTTGGTGGTTTGTTTGTACCCCTAATAAAAATAAATGCTTATCCCTGATATGAAAGTTTATTTTTTGCATCTAATCCTTTGTCAATAAAATTGAATAATAATGTAATATAAAACTGGTGGGTATTTAACCATTCATGCTTTTTGTTATTAGTTTTTTGATACCTTCTTTTTCTTAGAAAACATTAGATGATTAATGAACAATGAAATGCGTTCTATGATAAACTTTTCACTTGCAGGACCTTCTGTTAGATCTAATTTAAACCTTAACTCCAGTGCTGCTAATGTTACTAAACGAACTAGGAAACAAATGTCAACGAATACCAGTTCTTCAGCAGTGAGTTCATCTAGAGAAAAAGTAAAATCTTTGGACAAACAAGGGTAATGCCATACTGATTACAAACTAGTAATTAAAAAGTAGGGATAGTAAAAAGTTATGGAGTGAAATAACAACTTTTAATTAACTAAATGCTTTTCTTACATTAAGACAAAGATGATTATTTAATTCTCAGACTGTTTTACATGAACTTAGCATATATTGCTTTTACTTTATATGAAAGAGTATGCATGATTTAAACCCTAAGGCCCCCCAGTGGCACAGCAGTAAGTTTGTGGATGCATAAGGCTAAAAACTGGGTTTCAGTATCCATGGTGGGTAGAGCATAGGTAGCCCGTTATGGCTAACTACAAAAAAACTCTAAAATTTAAGTTTCTCAAGCATTTCTTTTCATATCAAATATGTGAACTGCAGTGATAAAACCAGAATTTTACATTAAGCTATTACATAATGTGTTTCAGTAGTCTGTCTTAAGACATATTATGTAACAAAATAACAGATTAAACAAACAACAAATTGTTATGGTTTAAATGCCACACAGTACAACCCAGTATGTGTAAGTTGAGATAACGTATTAATAAGAATCCTTTTTATTTTTGATCAAAATTTTATTACTCAATAACATGTAATGTGTGGAAATTAGCAGAATCATTCAGTCTTAGTAGGACATGTGCAGTAGAATGTTAATAATATACAAAATAAGTTACCATAACTGATATTAGTTGCTTGTATATTGAACTTGTTTAACCATAGGAAGCTTGCAGATACCAAAACTTGTCCGTACTTCGAAAGAATTATCATGAAGCTTTTATTCAATGTAAAGTACATTATTTTGATTGAATTTCTTAACTATTTATTTAGTTATTTTCAGATGTATTTTATTTCATTAGAAACACAAAAATAAATGTAAAAATGTGCACAGGACAGAGATGAGCTGTTGCTAAATGTACAAAAAACATTCAGTTTTGAAGGGTTTTTCTTTAATTGATGATATTAAAATAAAACAGTTACATTCCATAATAAGACCTGTTTTATCTTGAAAGCTAATAAAAAGCATAAAACATAAATTTTTTCCTTTCTTAGGTGGTACCATGGTTCTATCAGTAGGCTTGATGCAGAAAAAGTCCTAAGAGTTCTTAAGGAGGGGAGTTTTCTCGTCCGCAACAGTGAAAGCTCAAAACAAGACTTTTCATTGTCTCTCAAGTAAAGAGTTTCTTTTTATTTGTCATTTGGGGAAAGAAAGGGATGTAAAATCTTATTATCAAGATTATCACATAAGGAAACTGTATGCTCCTTTAACATAGGGTTTTCTTGCACTGTAGACTGATTTTACAATGTTTCAAGTTGTGACATTCATCAACAACGCATTACATCCAGACTAGTGACTACAAGCAGTGTTTGATGGTAATAATGTGTAATATTTGAATCTATTGTGTGAAATCATTAATTAATGGGGAGATATGTATAAATAAATTAATATATGTTTATGTACTGTAAACTAGTTGTGGATACTGTTTAAAAAAAATGTCTTAATATCTATTTTTAATATGAAAGCTATTGTCTGGAAAATTATGTTTTATATGAAAAACAAAACTGCATTAATTTCAAACAATAACTAAAATATTATGAGTGTATGCAGTTTTTACACACAAACACACTAATGACAGACAGATATATGCCTCATATATACAAGGCCTGTGAGAAAAGTATCCGACCTTTGGCCGGGGGAATAAAAACTGGCTGGTTTTTCGCCAACAAAGTC